AGTATAGAACAGTTTACAAAAAAGATGCATTGGTCACGTAAAGATTCACTCAACATATTATTGGTGCATCTTTGGTGATTGTCAGGCAGGCTGGACAGATGGCACAGAAGTTAGAACCACCATAATACAAACAAAGACCTGCTAGGAAACTGTATCCCCTCTGTTTATAGAGAGGTGTGGCCAATTTCAATTGGCTCAGGGGTATCCACTGGTAAGTGAGGTGTGTATTTGTGGCCACCACAGGGACAGCATTCTCTCAGCAGAATGTCCAGCCAAATAGCAAGGGAGATGAGCTGGTCAAGGGTTAAGGAGTCATCATGGCATGCTAGCTCTGTCTGGAACTCCTCGCATAATCCTTGGAAGAACATTGTGATGAGGGCACTGTCATTCCATCCACTGGCTGCAGCTAACATGCAGAAGGAGAAAGCATAGTCTGCTGTGGAGTTATTCCCATGGAAGAGTGTGAGCAGTTTCTCCCCTGACTCCTTACCCTCTCTGGGGTGGTCAAACACAGCCCAAAAGAGTTTGGAGAAGGTTTTATAGAACTGTGTCTGGTCACCCTGTCCTTCCCAAATAGCAGTGGTCAACTCGCAAGCTCTCCCTGTATGTAGCTGTATTACAAAGGCAAACTTAGTGGAGTAAGTGGGAAAGCTTAAAGCATTGTGAGTTATGTACAGACAGCATTATGTCAGGAATCCTTTACAAGCTTCTGTTCATGAGACATTGAAACATTTCTGGGGCTCCAAACAAACCAAACAGAAGGGTGACAAATTGGTGTAACCCAAAAAGAGTTTTTCCTTGAGAAATTGGAGTCTAAGGAATCTGCCAGTACCCCTTGGTTAAGTCAAGTGTTGAATAAGACCAAGCTGCACCTAATCGATCTAGCAGTTCATCAATGTAAGGCATCGGGTATGCATCAAATTTAGACACTGCGTTGACTTTTCTAAGGTCCACACAAAAACAGACCGACCTGTCGGCCTTGGGCACCAAGACTATCGGGCTGCTCCAATCGCTGTGGGACTCGTTGATTACTCCCAAGTCGAGCATAGCTTTGAGTTCACCCTGAACACATTTTTTTGTGTTCGGGTAACCGGTATGGGTGGCTGCGTACAACCACACCTAGAGGAGTCTCAGTGTGGTGTTTTATGAGGTCTGTGCAACCAGGTAGAGGCAATAACACATCAGAAAATTCCCCTTGCAATCTGGCAAACTGTGCTGTCTTGGACTTACCTCCAGTCCCAGCTCCTCCCTCTTGGGAACCACCTTTGCCAGAGCCACAGGAATTGTCTGTCTCCACAGTTTGAGGAGATTGAGATGGTCTATTTGAAGTGGATCGCCTCTATCCATTCGCCTGACCACACAGTTGACGTCTCCGACTCGCCATGTGACCTCAAAGGGTCCTTGCCACTTTGCAAGTAATTTAGAGCTTGATATGGATAATAAAATGAATACCTTATCTTAGAACTGACACAAAGTCTCCTGTGTTAGGTGACCAGGTAGAGGCAAGGTGTGGAGTATAGGTGTGGAGTTTTGCTTTCAGGTCCAGAACATACTGAATTTTGTTTCTGGTGTTAGAAGGTTCCTCCTCCCGATTTTCTCTAATGACTTCTAGGATGCCATGAGGGTTGTGCCCATACAGTAATTCAAATGGGGAGAACATCATGGAGGTTGGCAGGACCTCTCATACTGCAAATAACAGGGGCTTGAGCCGCTTATCCCAATTTCACGCATCCTCATGAACAAACTTATGAATCTTGCTTTTAGTGTCTGATTAAACAGCTCTAGCAGACCATCTGTTTATCCCTAATAATTCATAAAACTTGCGTAGTGTCTGTGATATAAGCATAGTGCCCTGGTCAGTCAGAATCTCTTTCGGGATCCTAACTAGGGAGAACATAGGAGAGTGTGTCCGCAACACTGCGTGCTGAGATGTTGCACAGAGGTACTGCTTCCGGATATTGTATTGTATAATCTTTCAGGACTAACACAAAGCAATACCCTCACATGCACCTTCCTAATGGCCCGACAAGATCCATGCCAATTCTTTTGAAGGGGAAATTGATTAAGGGTAATTGGTGCAATGGCGCTTTTGGGGTGGCCGGCAGATTCACAGCTGACATTCGTGACATGCCGCACACCACCTGTGTACATCGCTGTGAATGCCCAGCCAATAAAAATGAGCCATTAGATGGTTGAGTGTTTTATGCTGACCTAGATGCCCTGCAAAGGGATTATCATGAGCCTCCTAGTATGACATTTCCCGATGGATCTTCAGTACCAACAATTGGGTAAATTCTTTATTAGTTTGAGAGTCACTCAATATAACCTATCTTTAATAACAGAAAAGTAGGGTTAGGTGAGTGCAAATTCTGGCTGGATTATTTGACCACTGATTACTCTCACTTCGTCAAAGGTGTGACGAAAGGGACTCACCATGCGTCTGTTCCAAGGGGAAATCCCAAAGGGGAAACCCCACCAAGGCCGGTAGGGGGGCAGAGCCCTCCCCCTCCTCCCAGTCATCATGATGCGGCACAGACATTGACGGCCCCGGCACCACCTCCCCGGCCTGAGCTGCACACACCCCACACCTCGTTATGCATTTGGCACCAGACATTTATTAATATGGTCACCAGTGGATATTCGTGAATATCCCCATGCACAAACTCCAAGGTTTGATGTGTACTCCCTACTATACTCACCCATATGCGGTACGTTCCTGCATGATCAGGGGAGGCCCTCTGGTGGGCACGGGATGTTGCTCCTGACTGGTGCATCACCTCTATCCACTCACCTGACCTCACAGTTGACTTCTTTGACTCACCTTGCCACTTTGTGAGTAATTTACAGCTCAATATGGGTAGTAAAACATGTACCTTATCTCCCGCTGCAAATTCCTGTAGCTGAGGCCCTCTGGTGGGCACGGGATGTTCCCCTTCTGGAGAGAGAGACAGAGCATGGGAAGATGTTAGAGTAGGAAAAGTGAGCAGGGTAGGAAAAGTGAAGTGGAGACTGGGTCCGGGGTGTCAGTATCGGAACTCTGTCACCTTGGTTCCATGGAGCTGGAACCGGGAGATAAGAGGGGAGAGGAGACAGAGAGCGAAAAAGACCAGGGATGCCTGGACCAGGGACTGCTGCCAAGTGATCCTCCACCAGCTGCACAGCTTTGTCCAGGGAACCTGCTGGTGGCACTGGACTCACACCTGTCAGGAGCAACGAATGCTCCAGTATCACCAGCTCCATGATCTGTTCCACATCCTGCTCCTCCGCCATCAACCACCAGTGACATGAGTCCTTCAGCTGCTTGTGCATAGGTGAATGGGCGGCTGGCCTTGGGGAGCTGGAGCAGCCAGAAGCATCGGCGGTGCTCCACAGGTGTCCAGCTGACATGTTGCAGGACAAAAACTAAACAAAAAAAGGACAGAAAAGGGTCCGTCACGGATGCGTGGCTTTCACTCTGTCAAGTTCACGTTCCACGGTGTGTGTGTCTCGCAAGCTCCAGCTATATCACGATATCTCTCTCTTTTCCTGGTTACAGGAGTTATTGAAAGCACAAACAGACACAAATAAGTAGGCTGCCAGTAGCCAGACACAGGTGAGAATCATTACGTGTTACCTGCTGGTTCAACCCGCCTCCTCTCTGTCCGCAGCTGACGCTCAACCATGCCCCCGCTGCCACACCAATATATGAAAAGGTGCCACTGGCCACAATGATGTGATGCTAGAATGCTACTGCTATATGATCTCGGAAAATAACTTTTGCTATCGCAAAATCATAAGAAAAATAAGTTATGATCTTGAGAAAAAAACTTTTTTTTATTTCTGTAAAACTACTTTGTGATAATGTCCATTGTTAAAAGCAATATACAAATAAAACTGAATTGAATTGAATTGAACTTTTATCTTGAGATCACAAAAAATAATTCATGGCCTTTCTGGACTTCCGTAAATACATTATCATTTCTACAGTAAAAGCTCATTCACAGGGACTTGTATGGCAGACGTGCCACATAAACCGATTAAAAACCTGCATAATTGATATATTATATTATATTGTCATTCATATCTTGACTTTTCTTGCTTATTTTGCTTTCTTGCTTATGTTATATTTTTTCTTAAATATAACAAGCCATGCAAACCACATGTAATAAATCAAATACATTTGAACTGAAATTTAAACTGAATTCTTACTTACAAGGAAAATCAACTATTAAAACCATTTTAATACCAGTTCAGTCTTCAGTTAGGTAACACAAAATATATCTATCACAAACTTATGGTTCATGAAATATGACAGGACAGCATTCTCTATTTCAGCTGTTATTGTGCATGTCACATTCAGCGTCCATTCTGTCCTCCATCTCTTCTACCTGGTGCACTTTGCAAATGTTCTGAAGCCAGATGCTAAATGGTGTCCTTGTCCACTTGCTCATCCCATCTCATTACTGCAGCTATAAAGTTGTAACTATGTACAAATCAATGGATGAGGAAGTAGTTTTTCTGTCTTTACACGAAATGGTTAATGACACTGCAGACCTATCACTATTCATTTGGCCTTGTGTAATACAGCTTTTTAGATTAGCATGGACAGAAATATAAAGAAGATAAAGAAACTGAGAAGAAAACAGTGTAGTATAGCTTTATAAAAACAGTATTACATTATTAACATTATTTAAAGTAGATGTAGATGTGCCAGTTTGAGAAATACAGGTTAAGCCATTGACCATTAAAAAGCACTCACCCTTCATTGCTTTGTACAGAGTGGTGGCACCTAGTCCCCTTTTATTTCTTTTTCCTTTTACTTTCATGTTGAACTTGCTAAACAGCTGCTTGCTTAGGACCCTCTGAGATAGAGTACTTAGTTGTTGTTCTTCTTTTGGCTGCTCCTGACAGGGGTTGCCACAGAAGATCATTGGCACATTTTTCTACACTGGATGCCCTTCCTGACGTAGCCCTCCCCAATTTTATCCAGGCTTGGGACCGACACTGGGAGTGCAGTGTCGTGTGCTGGCCAGGAATCGAATCCAGGTCACGGCAGTGAGAGTGTCGAGGCCTAACCACTAGTCCTCCAGGGGCCCACAGTTAGAGTAAATTTTTACACTTTTATAGTAAAATACAAGTACACAATATAGCTTTGTAAACCTGTCATAAACTAGAAAAAGTGGATTTTTCTGGAGAAAATGTGTATGCTAACTGAAAGCACCTTATAAAACATAGGACCACTGCTAGAGCATAATTCTACAACAATGGATATAAAAATTCTATACACCCCTGTTAAAATGGCAGGTTTTTGTGATGTAAAAAAAAAAAGAAACCAAGATAAATCATGGCAGGGCCATTCCAAAACCTTGATCTTGTTTTAATGCAGCAGTTCTTTTGTTGATTTGGAGGAGCGCTCTGGGTCATCGTCATGCTGAAAGGTGAAATTCCACTTAAGTGATTTAGCAGAGTTTTTTATTTATTTATTTATTTTTTTTACCAAAATTGACAGGTATTTGGAGCTATTCATTATTCCCTCCACCCTGATTAAAGCCCCAGTTCCAGCTAAAGAAAAGCAGCCCCATAGTATGATGCTGCCCCCTCCAAGCTTCACCATGATGATGGTGTTCTTTTGGTGATGTGCTGTTTTTTTGGGTTTTTTTTTTTTTGCACCAAACATATCTTTTGGTATTATGGCCAAAAGCTTTGGTCTCATCAGACTATAACACATTATTCCACATGGTTTTGGGAGATTGGATGTATTGTTTGCAAACTTTAGCTCGGCTTGGATGTTTTTTTGGTTAAAAAAGGCTTCCTCTATGGTACAGGGCTGTCTGATATGGGCTGTAAAGAGGGGTGGTTCACTTCTCCCTAACCTTCAAATCTGTTATGGTGGGCATGGTGCGCCGAGTAGGAAGCGCCGAATAAGGCCCACAAGCTCAAACGTAAAATATATATATTATTTGAAAGGCAATGGCACAATCAATACAATATTTATAAATACACACACAGATGTTACCTTTAAGAAGGCACATTTTTTCACACAAATCATCACACAGCACGCTGTGATGCATACAGTTAGAGGTGGGCCCAGAGGTGCAAGGCAACAGTGCATACTACTAAGCCACCATGTATTTATTAAGTATTTTTGTCTGCATACAAATTGGAGACATGTAACAAAGTTATTTCTAGCTTATACAAAAGTTTTCTCCAGGCTAAACCCAAAAATACAATGAATTACAGTGAAATGGGAAAAGGAGAGAAACATGATTATTAGAGATGACGATTGGGTGTCATTGCCAATTACAATGGAAGTCAACTTGACCAGTCATATGGAGAGAATTCAGTTGGACAAACATTATCACACCCCTACAAAAGTGACACGTGGGTACTGGTACAGGATGTTGGCAAAACTGTGGGCTAAACAATGCCAAACACAGTAATGTTTTTGGAATGCACAGTTCTCGATTCCTACTGGAAGAGAACACATCAAATTTAGAAGCTATATCTGATAATGCAGTGGTGGGCAAACTACGGCCCGCTGTTTAATCCGGCCCGTTGAGTATTTACAAAATTGTCCTAAAGACCGCATTCATTTCGACTTGTTCCTGCAATACCCTGCGTTTCAGTTGATTCCACTAGATGGCGCACTCCAAACACTACCGACCTTCACTAAAGCCAAGTCTATCATCTCAACAAAGCACGCCACAGATCCCAGTTAACTGACAAACACCTGAGATCTGTCCCGAGAATTGCCACAACTAAACTGACACCAAACTTTGATGCGCTGGCAAAAAAGGGTGACCAACAACACTGTTTCCACTGAAATTGAATAAAAGTTTTCTTTACTTTTTAGGTAATGGGTTTCACATGTAATTTATATTAGTTCATCCCCCCCATCTGCTACTGGCCTGGCCCATCTGTCAAATTTTAAAACCCAGTGTGTCCCTTGCGTCAAAAGGTTTGCCCACCCCTGTGATAATGGTATCCCACTCAAATGTGGTACCTTATATCTGGGTAACATTTCATTCACAATGTAGGATAGTAATGATAGGAAGTTGATACTTATACTTTTTTTCAAGAGTATGTCGCTCGGAGCCAACACGTTCAGTACATGAAATTGAGTTACATGAGCTTCAAATTCTTTACATGCAGGACTCATTGTCTGATAAGATTAAATGTACTGCTACTATTCTATTACTACTGAGTATAGATGAATTAAGCACTGCTCTTCTTGAATGGATTTGATTAAAGGATTGCATCTACACTTTGAAGGTTCATCTGTTCTACCAGTACCTGCACAATTGTCGACTCCTGTAATGCACCTTTCTGCTTCTATGCCAGTTGCTAAGCTGGAGTGCGCAAAAGGCTTTGTGCATAAGGTAAAAATTTCTTCAGATGTTACACCTGCACCCCAGAAAATCAGATGCTTACCTTTGTCTGTTCGAAATGCTATCAGTGAGGAACAACACCATTGAGAGGGTGTATGCATCACCATGGGTCTCCCTGAATGTAGTTGTGCAGAAAAAGTCAGGTGGTATTCGCATGTGCATAGACCTCCAAGAACCAAATAAAGCTGTTATTATGGACAGTTATCCCTTGCTACACATTGATGAGTTGTTGTTCATGCTATGTGGAGCAACTGTCTTTTCTACAGTTGACTTGGAAAGTGCTTACTTCCAGCTTTTATTACACAAAGAAAGCTGTGATGTGACTGCATTTATCACCCACGAAGGACTGTTTAGATTCTGCTGAGTACCCTCTGCGTTTCAGAAAATGCTAGCAACCATGCTGAAGGGATTACCAAATGTGGCTAATTATGTGGATATTATTTTCTGGGAATAACACAGAGGGAACATGATCACACACTTAACGTGGTTATTCAGTTTAACAATTCAATTCAATGCCACGTTAACAAAATCAGTTTGCGCTTACTATCCTACATATCTTACATTGTGAAGGAAATGTTACCCAGATATAAGGTACCACATTTGAGTGGGATACCATTATCAGATATAGCTTCTAAATTTGATGTGTTTTCTTTCAGTAAAAATCGAGAACTGTGCATTCCCAAAAACATGACAGTGTTTGGCATTGTTTAGCCCACAGTTTTGCCAACATCCTGTACCAGTTCCCAGGTGTCACTTTTGTAGGGGTGTGATAATGATTGTCCAACTGAATTCTCTTCATATGACTGGTCAAGTTAACTTCCATTGCAATTGACATATTCTATCCCAATTGCGCTTTCTGAGTCATACAGTGTCTGCGTAAGGCATTTACCAAGATGAGGACCATCTTCATGCTCCAGTTCCTAATGATGCCCACCAGCTCTGTTCCCTTCTTGGATTGTTATCATGGTATAACAAATTCATTCCAAATTTTGTCACAGTAGTAGAGTCATTGCATGCTTGGATCAGACAAGGTTCATCTGGACGGATGAGGATCAGAAAAGTTTTGATACTGTGAAACATTTATAAGTCAAAAGTCCTGCCTTGGCATTATTTGAACCTAACCTGGCTACTGTGGTTTCAACTGATGCATCTGAATATGGGTTGGGTGTTGTACTTGCTTAAATTCATGAAGACTATACAGAATGCTTTGCTGCATTTGTTTCAAGGACGCTATCAACTCCTGAACACAAATATTCAACAATTGAAAAAGAAGCCTTAGCATATGTCTGGGTTGTTGAAAAATGGAGAACCTACCTTTGGGGTCATAAATTTCTCCTGTGTACTGATCATCAGGCCTTAACGGTGCTTCTTTCTTCTAAAGGCACGGACCACGCTGGAATGTGAATAGCGTGTTGGGCTGCACGATTACTATGCTTTAACTATGATGTGACTTCATCTATCTTTGCCAGCTTCTGACAAGGATTTTTCTGATACTGATCCTGAGTTTGTGGTATTCTTGTTTTCTGAAATGTCTGCTTTGTCTCCAACTGAGTTTGCTTCTGCTTCTGCTTCATGTTCAGACTTGAGTGCATTACGCGCACAGATTGTTTGTGGACGGCCTCCTTCAGCTGCTGTGGATTTTTTTATTGTGCCCATATTTTCAGATACGTGATGAAGTGTTCAGAGGGTTACATCTTGTTGTTCCTGTCACGCTGTGGTGCATCTTAGTGAATCTGGCACACAAAGGTCATCAAGGAATTATTGGCACACAAAGGTTATCAAGGAATTGTGTGCACTAAACAGCACGTTTGTGAATTTTATTGGTGGCCATGTATTGACTACATGGTCAAAGAACAAATTAAGAGCTGTCAAATTTGCTTGTCTTCTGATACCATCAGAAATCTGTTTTTCGTCTGTGCCATGGGAAAAATTGGCTATTGACATTGTAGTCCCATTTGAAACTGCTGTGTGGGACTGTCACTACATGTTGACACTGATTGACTATCATAGTAAGTGGCCTGAAGTAACATTGACTGCTTCCATTACAAACCAAAATGTGATCATGTTCCTGACATCTGTCTTCAGTCAATTTGGAAATCTTCGTTATATTGTGTCAGAAAATGGATGTCAGTTCAGATCAGTGGAGTTTGCTGTGTTTCTGAAAGACAGAGGCATTCAACACATATATACTTCAGTGTACTATCCAGCTGCAAATGGAGCCATTGAGAGATTTCATCGTATACTTAAGAGATGCATTCAGTCTGCTATTCTGTCTGGGACGCCGTGGAAATCAACAGTAACACGGTTTCTTCAAGATTACCGTGCTACTCTGCATTCTGCATTCTGCATTCTGCATTCTGCATTGGGAGCAGTTGTGGCCTAATGGTTAGAGTCTCGGACTTGTAACCCGAAGGTGAACCTGAAGGTTGTGGGTTTGAGTCTCAGGTCCGGCAGGGATTGTAGGTGGGGGGAGTGAATGACCAGCGCTCTCTCCCACCCTCAATACCACGACTGAGGTGAGACCCTTGAGGAAGGCACCGAACCCAACTGCTCCCCGGGTGCCGCAGCAAAAAAGGCTGCCCACTGCTCCGGGGGTGTGTTCACAGTGTGTGTGTGTTCACTACTGTGTGTGTGCACTTGGATGGGTTAAATGCAGAGCACAAATTCCGAGTATGGGTCACCATACTTGGCTACATGTCACATCG